AAACTTCAGATGATTACAAATTTCATGAACAATATCAATTTAACTTTACAAAATATTTTTAAATAATATCAATTTCTATGATTTGCAGATCATTATTATTATTATCATTTATTTAGAGAGAAAAAAGAAATCTTGCATAGAATTATTAAAAATAATAATAAATAATAATAATAATAATATTAAAATAATAAGTAGCACTTTGCTTTTAAAATTAATTTATGTATTTTATATTCTTTGTATTATAGTAAAAATACAGTGTTTAAACATAAAATAAAAAATGAGTAATTATTGAAACAATATTTTCGCGTAAAACATTTCATAGATAAAATTCAAAAAAAATGTAAGTATTTACGATATATATGTAAGACCATATTTTTTGTAATACTCTTTTCATAAATATTGCATTAAATTATTGATAAAGATATATATATATAATATATATATCTATAAGAAAATATATCTTATTTTATAAAATTTATAGTAGACTTTTGTCAATAACAAATTTTAGCGTGAATTATTTACGTATCAATGTAATAAATTATAACAATCTAATAAAAATAAAGTATCAATATAATAGAATAGAAAATAAAATAATATTTGAAGTTGAATGCAATAAATTTTAATCTAAAATTAAATATTAAAATTTTATGATATAGTTGTTGATGCCAATCTTAGAAACAAATTTTACATATATTATAATTTATTTAATTATTCCATATCATCGTGAAAAAAATGCATGTAAAATAATTTAATCATATTAAAGTTTGAAGTTTTATTATTCTAAAAAAAATCGAAAAATACTTAGTAAATAATATAATTAGATTAAAAAAGTATTTATCTATCTTATAATTCTAATCGTCTAAAGAATAAACAAAATGTGAAAATTTTTTTTATATTTTATTATTAAATAAAAAATTCAAATTTTTTTGATTAAATTTTTTTTCAATTTTTCCTTAAAATATAAATATTATAAAAAATGGGCATTCATTATGTTCATCTTTATTTCAATAGCTTACCTGTATTATAAAAATTGAAACGAAATGAAATTGAATTTAAAATAAAAAATTCTTTTTCATTTATAAACTAAAACGTGTAATATTGAAAAAATAGTGTAAAATTTTTAATTTAATTTTAATTTAATCATTTAATTTTTTTATACAAAAAAAGATTTTTTTTCATTTTATCATTTGTAAAATTTATTTATAAAGTTTTTAAAATAAAAGTAAAAAAAAAAGTTTAAAAAATTCTATTTAATTTTTTAAATGCAATAAAAATAATGTAATTTAAAAACAATAAAAGACAAAAATTTATAAAAAATGTACACACATTTCTATTTTAGTCTTCTTTTTTTTTAAACTGATTTATTAAAAAATTCACACTACTAATTTATCAATAAAAACGTCTTACATATTAAATAGAAGAATGTTTTATAAGTATTTTTGATACGAAATTTGTATAGATGTTCACAGTTGACGATTATTACAATTTTTCTTTCATGCTATAGTCAAAAGCATCAATGCTCGCTCGCTGCTTTAGATTGATTAAACAGAAACCAATCATCGATCATATTTCTTCTATGAGTATCTTTACAAACATAAATGTATGTATGCATAAATGTGAAAGCACGCATGCGAGCATATATATAAGCACGCATGCGAGCATATATATACATATATATATATATTGTATCTATATATTTATACATATGTATATACTTACACGTGCACATGTAAACACGTAATGTACGTGTATATAATGTGTGCATATCTTTTATATATAAAATGCTTGTTTTTATTTTTTTGCGAATCGAGCGTATGCCGAATGAGACGAAAATGAAAGATAGATCGTACCAATAATCAGACGAACTATCGTTAATTGAAGTATTTTCGTATGCACTGTATGATAAACTCACACAGTCATTGTTCGAACAATGCTAATAGACTTTAAAAATGATGTTAAAAGCTCTCTACAAAACAATACATCGTCTTCTTCTAACTGGTTCTGGAGGTTCTAATGCTGCTAAAATTGCTTCGTCGAATACGTTTTTTAAACCTTTCTAAAAAAATAAAAAAACAATAATATATAAGAAACATATAATATTAAGAAAACATTTAAAAAATAATTATAAAGAATACAGTATTTTTCGAGATCACAAACAGAGCCATACTTGTGTAAGAGCACTACATTCCACATATTTCACTGCTTTGAGTTCCTTGGCGAGTTTTTCACCTTGTTCAGCTGATATAGGCTTTTGTTTATTTTTTGCAAGTTTTTCAATAGTTGCTGCATCATCTCTCAAATCAATCTGAGTACCAACTAGCAAAAATGGAGTCTTTTGGCAATGATGAGTTATTTCTGGAACCCACTGATGAAAGATTTCTGAGTTGAAAAATTATTTTTGTAAATAGAATTAACAAATGTATATACATACCTTTTCCTTAACATTTTCAAAAGATGATGGAGATACAACCGAAAAACAAACAAGAAATACGTCAGTTTGAGGGTAACTCAAAGGACGTAATCGGTCATAATCTTCTTGACCTTTAAATGAATTATTAATATTTAATATAATATTTTAATTGTATATACATATATATATATA